GAATTTATCCCCTCTAATAAGGCTTTTACTTAAATTTAATCTTCAGGTCTTATAAAAAAAAGATGAAAGAAAAATTTATAAGTCCTTCACATTATTTTCAAATTAATAATAATTTACCAAACCCAAAACAGATCATAGGATCTACTAAATGCTTTTAATTTCAAAAGTCCATCTAATCTATTCATTGCACGTCCTACTCCAGGAACACTTATCTAAACATTTCCTTCAGTTATTCTACCAAACGGTTTTATTCTTACTGATATGCTTTCCGTAATTATCACCACATAATCAGAATTATTTTTTCCTTTCACACTCATTTTCCTTTCACATTCATTGAAGTCAGTAAAAGAAATAAAATGACTTTCAATTAAAGCAATTACAAAAACTTATCTTTAATAGATTTTAAAAATTTCAAAGTAACTTAAATATAGAAGGCACCAGAAAAAAAATTATATTTTGAATTTGAGGAATGTATAGTATATATGTAAACAACAGATGACAGGATAACACATCAATGATGTATCTGCCTTGTTCTCATATACTCCTAGTTTAATGAAAATTGATGCAAACTTTCTGGAATGCTTTTTGTTTATACATAAAAAAGCTCTAAAGGTTCTAAATGTATATACACTGACCTTGTAATCTGTCTCCTAGAATTCTATACTAAGGTTATAAAAATATTGGCAAGGATTCATATATTAAAATGTTTATCATATATACACACACACATATACCACACAACAATGAATAAGTCAGTATTTATTAAAATGTAGTAGTTTAAAATATGGGTTTTTGGAACTACACAAACCTGGCTCTAGCCATTTACTACATGCATCTATTGGGACCGTAAATAAAAATGTAACTAAGAAATCAACTTAAATTATCTTGAGGAAAAAAAGATGTATTATAAGGATATAGAGTATCTCACAGAACACTAAGGCAGAATGAAGCTAAGCTTCAAAAGAAACTGGAACTATAAACTGAACAGTCATAGATCCATCTCCTCTTTTTACATATATGCTTCATTCTTCTTTTTTTTGCAGACCAGCTTCTCTACTCTTTCAGTCCATGTGGTAGATGAAGGTTTCTGAATTCACTTCATTGAGGAAACCTGCCCAAACTCAGTGCCTATTCTCAGTTCCTGATGGACAAGATCAGGTAGAGAAAATATGGCTGCCCAATAGCTGAGGGAGCTTTTAGAGGGTTGTCAGTGAGGCAGACGCCTCAAAAGATGCTGACTTCTTCAGGTCTGGAACCATGGGCCAGTTTCATAATCTCTTGGCACCGCAGTTTCCTCCTCTACAAATGGAGATAATATCTACAGTAAGGATAACCCTATAGTGTAAAAACAATTTTATAGAAATATAAAAATATTACATTCATTAAGAATGTTTCCTAGAAATTTTTACTGATTGGAAAATTCATGACATTATTAGAGTTCTCCAGAGAAACAGAACCAATAGGATGAGTGTGTATGTGTGTGTATATATATTCGGAGAGAGAGAGAGAGTGTTTATCGTAAGGAATTGGCTTTATTATTGGATTTATTGTAAGAATTGTGGGGGTTGGAGCCCCAAATCTTCAGGGTAGGCCAGCAGGCGGAAGAGCCAGGGAAGAGCTGATGTTGCCACTCAAACCCAAAGGCAGTCTTCCTCGGAAGGGACCACATTTTCTCTCTTAAGCCATTCAATTGATCAGATAAAACCCCACCTACATTATGGAAGATAATCTACTTTACTCAAAGTCTACTCATTTAAATGTTAATGTCATATACAAAAATATCTTCACAGAAAAATCTAGAAAAATGTTTAACCAAAAATCTGGATACCATAGCATGGCCCAAGTTAACAAATAAAATTAACCATCACACATAATATTAAATAAAAGAATAAACCTCATATACAATATGGCCCCAATTATTTTCAAATTCTAAGGAAAAATTTAACACTAGCTTTTTCCTATTATTTTTACTTTTTTTAAGTCTTCTCTAAGTTTCAGTACTTATCTTGCTTGTCCTCTCAGCATTTAACAATATTAACTACTTTCCTTTTCCAGAAACACCCTCTTTCTTTCACTTGTAGCCTCCCTTTATAGTATATCTTTTTTATGATATTGTCCAATCAATACCCTCTCTTCTGCATATATCCCCACTTAGACCCAGCAGTGTGGCCCTGGAGACATGCTCATACTGTGTGATCCTGCTGCTCTCTTATCCACAACTATTGAAGGATGAGGCATGGACATTGGCCCTAGAGAAGCAAATCCATTGGCTGGACTAAGTTTAGAGTCTTTTTCTTAATAGTAATTTGAAATAAAGTCAGAAAGAAAGTCAATCAGTCTCTGTTGTGTGCTTGAATTTGGAAATGTAAAACTAAGGGTGAGAGACATACACATGCCAAAGCAGAGAGATAAGAAACAAGCAGAAAAGAGAGATGGATGGCGTGCCTTTACTTCTGACGGCATTCCAGAGCCTGCCTCCAATCTTTCAGGAGGCCTGACAGCACTTTCTTGCCCTTGACTTCCATGAGATACCCTCTCCGGGCTTCAAATGAAGTTTTGTTGTTGTCTTCTGTTGAATCTAATTCAAATAGGTTACTAGAACCCCTATACACACAAACACATACACACACACACACACACACACACACACACACACACACAGCCTTAGACACACCAGGCTTTTATTATTTAATTCATTTCCCAGTTTCTAATATTTTTTCATTACCCACTGTGGAAATATAAGCCTCCAAAGTACTACAATACTAATTGACAGAGAACCGAAACACTTAAGCAAAGGAAGGGCTTTTGCTTTCAATTCACAATAAGGATTAAAAAAAGTATAAAGGTAAAAAAGTTGTTTTGTTTTTTTGTACTGGATTATTAAAGTCAAATATCTATAAACATAGAAATTTCATATAAGGGAGTGTCTTTCAAAACAACTAACCAAAAGTAAACAATTATTTAAATTTAGTTTATTCAAATTTAGAGTGAAAAATGTAAAACAAGAAATTCAAACTAATTATATAAGATTAACTGTAAAGTAATTGGTCAGTTTCCACATCTGTAAAATGACAGTTTGAAACTACGTTGTTTCTAAAGTCCTGTCTTGCTCAAATTCTAAAGTTGTACTATATACAAATTCCACAAACTTTGAATTAAATATACTAGGTTATTCAAAAACTATAAGGTAAGGTTATTCTGATAATGCATATAACCCTGAAATGTTAGAATATTGATAGCAGCATCCTGTAAACAATCCAGCAGTACTGTTTTCAGACTTCTTGTAGCATCATGTTCTGAATGAATGATAAGCAAAAATAAAAACTATTTTCTCTTACTTGGACTGCTAATATTAATAGCATGCAACATAGCTACTCATTGAGAAGTTATAAAAGGCCCTATAGTTATAAAATCCTGAAAACCTCAAGAACCTAAGAACATAAGAGAAACATTAGTTAACCAGTATCATGCCAAACGTAACTGAATGACAACCTCAAATTCTGAAATATTTAGATTAAATCAAATTTGAGATATTTATCTCTTACACAAAACAGGCAAGGCAGCACTACTTCACAATCTGAGTTTCACTGTAAATCTCCTTTGGTTAAATAGGGGGAAAAAACCTATCCATGGTACTCTTCCCTCAAAATTCTGTCATTCTTACTATTTTCCATTACATTACATATGCACATTACGTATTTTCCATGTTAAAGTAAGAGAGATGCACTGCACAGAAGTGTCCACGGGAACATGATTTTCTCTGTACTGAAACTATATCTGTGAGAAGTAAGCTTATCATAATGGAGTTTTATACAGAATGTGTATTTAACAATGTAAGGTGCTTTTATGCTGTAGCGGGGGGGGGGGGGATGACAAAGTCTGATTCCTTAGATTCTCCATAATTATTACCTTTATTCTTAAAATTAAGGGACTGATCTGCAGGATGAACAAATCTCCTTACAATTTAAAAGACAGATAAAACAAGACAGCAGTCTAAGAATAAATTTTGCTTCCATAAGAAAGAATTCGTTTTTAAACCTAATTTATGGACCATGAAAAACTGAAAAATGGGAGGCCAAAAGAAGCTGGCAAAATCTAAAACGTTTACCATTAAAAACTCAACCCGAATTGCCAGGCTGACCCTGCTGTCATACCTGCCATTTTTACAAATCCACTAATCTGATCAAGAACCCTAATATTAAGAATAAAACCAAGCATTTTTAAAACTAACGCAACAATATGCTGTAGCTCAACAGCTGATACTACATACAGATCAGTAATCCAGAAGACAAACTTTGCATCTATCAGCAAATTAGCAACCACACACCCTTGAAAAAGAGAACTCAGGCTGTTGTCCATTAACTTCCATAAAGGGTGGCTTTCATTTAAAATTCATTACTTCATTGCCTGGATCCACCATGCTTGTTTTGGCATTATACTACTGTTTTATAAACATTGTCTCAGAGTAAAGTTAGAATTTACTTAAACCTGCAACAACCAGTTTGGGGGAGGGCTCCACACACTGTGGTCAAAATACGTCTTAGTTACCTAACAATCTAACAATTCATTAGGAGAACATTATAACTAATCACAATTATATTCTGGGCATCCCAAGAATTAAAAAGCCGTTTAAAAACTCAACCAAAGCCCAATGATTATATTTATCATATAATCATTGAAGATATATATATATATATGTATATACATATATATATATATACATATATATATATATATGTATATATATATATATAACTTCACGAACAGTTTTTCCTTTGGTTCCAAGAAAGGCGTTACTATTAAAATATAGTTTGAGGGCTAAATCTCTAGATTTCCCCCATCGCTGAATTTTTTTTTAAACCTAGAAAGGGCCTGTGTGCCGGCAATGTGAAAACCTGCGGAAACAGAAGTTCGGGAGCGGGACGGCCAAATCAAGACAACCGCCTAGAGCAAAGAGGACCCGAGTTCCGCAACTGCCCCGGCCGGAGAGAGAGCCTTACCTGCCAGCGGCCGTAGGTGAGGAGGACCATGGAAATGGGGATGGCGGTGCCGGACATGGCATGGGTGGAGGGCATGCTGTACTCGGAGTTGTAGAAGACCTCCAACTTGACCACCGGCGGCGAGGCGGGCCGCGGCCAGCGGATGATGTCCTTGGTGCACTGGCCCAGGTACATGACCAGCACCCAGATGACCACGAGCCTCCGGCCCACCAGGGCGTCCAGATTCCAGATCCAGAAGGGGAAGAACAGGATGTAAAAGAGTTCGTTGCCCAGCTCCGTGCCGAAGCAGAACAGGTAGTAGAGCGGCCAGTTGCTCACGTGGGCCAGCTCGCCCTCCTCGTTCGTGAGCGAGTTGCGGCGAAGGGCGCCCGCCCGCCGCGGCGAGGCCGGGCCCGGCTCGGGCGCCAGTCCGTTCCGCACGCCGTTGGGGGCGCCGCCGCCGCCGCCGCCGCCGCCGCCGCCGCCCGGCTTGGCGGGGCACTGATTGCAGTCGCTTGCGAGGGTCCCGGGGCCTCCGCACGCCTCTGGCGGCCGCTCCCGACGCCGACAGCCTCTGGAGAGCGGCGCCTCCTCCTCGTCATCCTCCCTCAGGGCGGCGGAGGCCAGCGCGGAGCGGCTCAGCGGCGCTTCCACCCCGCACAGCCGCTGGAAACGGGCCACTTTCTGCGGCTCCTGCAGACGACCCGCCAGCAGGGCCAGGCTCTGCCTCAGCGACATGATAACGGGACCCGCGCGCCCCGCGGACCAGAGGACGCCAGCGGGAGGGCGGGCCGGTCCCCGGCGCAGCCCCCAGCCGTTCCCGCGCGCCCGGCCAGTGGCGGCAGCCGCAGCACCTCGCTCGACCCTCTGGGCTCTGCCGGGTGACGGCGCCACAGGCCGCAGTAGCCGCCGCGCGCTCCCGCCCCGCGCGCCC